TTTAGATTTCTTAATTTTGGATTAGAAAAGGGGGGGGCGTCTTATACATGGTGGCATCTTATACACGGAAAAAAACGGTAATATAATATATAGAGCTAGAAGGGACCCTGTGGATCATGAGGCAGAGCTGGAAGGGACCCTGTGGATCATGAGGTCCAACCCCTGTCAAAGAGGCACTGGCGGGATTCGAACTCCCAACCTCCCACAGCCAAAGACCTCAACCCCTGTGCTATCCTTAGCCTCCTCTATGTCTTGTCTTGAGTTTTTCCAGCTGAGCTGGTTGAGATGGGTTGCCAAGTCTCTGGCGAGCCGAAGGGTCTCCCTCCCTCCTTCGCCCGCAGAGCCGGCCCTACCGTTAGGCCCGGCGAAGAAGCCACCTCAGGCAGCATATTTTGAGTGACGGCAAACTCTTGCTTATTCCATTGCCTCGTCTTTTGTTATGTCCAGAAAAGGGGAGAGGCTTTTCTGAGCCATTTGGCCACTTTAGGACTTCGGGAGAGGGGCCGGGGGACTGCCGGGCTTCAGGCGGCCAAATCTGTTTGGCAGCGTGGGTGGGAAGTTCTCCGAACTGGAGCTGAGACAAAAGGGAGAGGCAGAGAGTCGGAGGTTAGGGAAGGACAAGGGAAAGGAAAGAGAGAGAGGGAGGGAGAGGGAAGGACGAAGAAGGAATTTCTATAAATTCTTATAGAATCTGCCCATTGTTATCATCTTATATATATAGAATATGACACCCGATGAGAATAGATTGCTGGTTTGGAACACAACACACCCTCTATTGTGCCTATTGTTTCGTAAGCTGGATCCGACCGACGCTGGAGCGGCAATTTCTGCCTCTCCAAAAACTCCATCCCGGCCTCAAGCTGTGAAGTGGGGGGGGGAAGCCTGCAGTGTTTGATGGACTACGAAGTCCATTATGCCTTGCCCTGTTGGACGGAGCTGATGGGATCCGGAGTGCCGCAACGCGTGGAAGGCCTTATTTAGGCCTCACGGCCGTTAAGCCTCCAGGCCTAAATAAGTGACTCATCCGACTTCTGCTCATTTCTCTGAGGAAAAACCGCAGGGACGGTTGTTTGAGCTCATGAGCGTTGCCACATCTTGTGGCGGTGAGTTCTTTACATTAGTCAAGCGGGGTGTGAGGAAACGTTTTTCCTTTCCCGTGCCTGTCAATCAATTCGTTTGGATGACCTAATCTTGAATATTACAAGAGAGAGAAGGGGGAGGAAAAATCTGTCTATTCTCTCTGGACCATTCTTAAACTAACATAGATGCTCACCAGTCTCTCTCGGCGGCTACTGTAAGCCAGCAAATATTTCATTTTATTTCATTTGAAACATTTTAATTAAAGTCCTTAGCCAAAAAACAAAACAAAACACCAAAAGAACTCCTCAAGGGAACTCATCTGCTGCTAATTAAAGGGGAGGGGGGGAGAGAAAGACAGGTTTGTAAACTAAAAATACATGACACAAAAGGAAGAAAATAATAAGAGGGAAGAAGGGGGAAAGGGCTTGCTAGACTCTAAGAACATTATCCCTCCAGATTTGCAAATTCAGTGCTACAGTGCCAGGGAGACATCAAACACGCAAACAAAGCCGTGCTGTTGTCCTCCAGCTGAGCCATCACAAAACCAGAGCAAGGTTAAATTGCCAAATGCAGATTAAGGCAAGCCGGCATTAGACCATTTCCCCCCCTTAGGTGGGCACTGCTTCTAGACACGGAATCAGCGCCTCCTTGAGCGAGGCCCCTCCTGCACAGCGGAGGTAGGGGAAAGGGTCACTGTCCAGATTGTCCTTGGACTCCAGATGCCAGCATTCCGCCTCGCTGTCACACAGGCCGATGGGATTTGTAGTCTGATAGGATTTGGAGGGTTACAATTTGCCCATCCTGTCACACAGGCCGATGGGATTTGTAGTCCGATGGGATTTGGAGGGTTGCAATTTGCCCATCTGGGTAAGAAAGAAAGAAAGAAAGAAAGAAAGAAAGAAAGAAAGAAAGAAAGAAAGAAAGAAAGAAAGAAAGAAAGAAGCTGCCACAAACAGAGGAAAATATAATTGTCGGCCCAGCTGCCAAGCTCAGAGAAAAGTTTCTCTCTGGAACTTGGCTGGATTTTCCCCTCTTTTTTGAAAATGCTATATTTTGCAGAGGCTTAACCCTTGGTAGAGCTTGATTTGCCGAGCCGCGCTCAGCTTGGCCTCGATCCCGGCTTTCCCCAAGGCGGCCCAAGGGGGCTGTGGGAAAAAGCGTACAGGACAGGACATTTCCCGAAGGTCCCACTTAGCCTGGGAAACGCACGGCTGTCGTGAAATCCCGGGCCGTCAGAGAGACGGAGAGAAAAACGAGACGCTGGTCCGAATGAGGACAGCGTCATCGCAGACGCTTGTCGTCAAGAAATGACCCGTCGCTTCGGAGACGGGTCAGAAGTCAGGACAGGGAAGCCGACTTTCCCAAAAAGGCCAGCAGAAGGCATCTCACACTCCTCTGACTCGTTCTAGGGTGGCCAGGTCACAGAGATAAGAAAGAGAATGTGTCAACACACACACACACCCATTCCCCTTTCTTAGGCCTTGATCGCACTGCGTTATTTCAATCGGATTAACCTTAAAATGAATCACATCGTCTGCCATCCTTTATCCTTACACCCAGGGGCCCTTCGAACTGAGGACCGTTCTCGGACAGCCCCTTAACCCAAGGACACCTTCGCACCAGCAACTCTTTGAAGCCGGTCTAACAGAGGACTGGAGAGACCGCCGGGCTTGGCGGGTTGGCTTGATCTCCTGGGCAAGTGGCGCTGAAAGATCGGCGTGCCCAGAGGGACAACGTCTCGAAAAAAACGCTCTTTTGCCTTAAGGTGTGCTCTGATTTTTTTAAAGGGGCAAAATAGAGGTAGATTAGGGAGAAGATGAACACGGGAAGTAGAAGAGAAGATTTATAACTTAATTGGAGATCTGGGAAAGTTTTAAAAAACACACAAACAAAAAAAAACCCAGCCTGCCCCCTTTCCATCTGGTTGTTCCAAGCTTAGCAAGGCATCAGGGGGAAGACAACCAGCCCTGTTTACTCTCCTCTGGTTGCTCAGTAAAAAGCACACCAGAACAATAAAACTACAGAGCACACAATGGCTTTTTCTGAACCCCTTCTCTTCCCCCCCCTCCGGCTGCAGATCTTTCTGCTTGTCTTCTGTTTAAATTGGACCGTAGCTTTAATAATGATAAGCACGTTTTTCAATTGCATGTGTCGCTGTTGACGTTGGCTGGGACTTTTTTTTGTATATAAAGAGCAATTAAGATCTTGCAGCAAAGTAAATAACAAGAACATAAAAGGATGGAATATGTTACAGTATCAAAGCATGGAAACATTATACTGCATTCACCTTTTTTTTTCTTTTTGGGCATTGTGCCTGCCTGTAGGATTCTGGGATTTATAGTCCGAGACAGGAACATTTCTGAGAGCTTAAAAAAATGCCCGGCACAGATCCATGGGCAGAAACATACTAGAGCCGGCTATGCCAGTTTAGCAGACCTAATGAAGGGGTTACCCTAGCGAGAACTTGAAACTGTTCCTCTGGCCATCTGCTTTAATTTTTATCAGTTAGACGCTTCCGAAGATGGAAACACACCAGATGCATTGATCGGTCTCCTTTCCGAAGCGACACAGGATCAAACCTAACTAGTACGAGGCTGCCAGGGGAAAAAAAACAGCAAAAATAAAAAATAAAAAAAGAAGAAAATGTTGTGGCACCATAAAAAGGAACTGTTATATTTTAATGTTAAGGTCCTGTGACCACTTCTTCAGGGATATGAAGAAGTACACGAAGATCACACAATAAAACATTGGTGCTAGGGTCTAAGAAACAGTGGTGTAAGGTTGCAGGAATTACTCCATGGGATTAGGAAAGAATCTACATGGTGCCTCGCTAGACAGTTACCCCGCATGACAGTTTTTTCGCTAGACATTGACTTTTTGCAATCGCTATAGCGATTCGCAAAACAGTGATTCCTATGGGGGAATTTCGCTGGACAACGTTTGGTCCCTGCTTCGCAAACCGATTTCCGCTAGACAACGATTTTGACAGCTCCCTCCGCGCTCACAAAACAGGTGTTTTGGGGACCTAAGCTTCGCAAAACAGCGATTTAAACAGCTGATTGGTGGTTCCCAAAGCGGCTTTCCTATGGCCGATCTTCGCTAGACAACGATGATTCTTCCCCATTGGAACGCATTAAACCGGTTTCAATGCATTCCAATGGGGAAATGCTTTTCACTAGACAATGATTTCGCTAAACAGCGATTTCAGTGGAATGGATTATCATCGTCTAGCAAGGCATCACTATATTAGCTCTGAATTGCTGGAAGCCACATTGGGTACTCTGAAGGGGGAAAAAAGGGGGTGTAGATATATTTGAAATAAATAAATAAAATAACTGAAGACAGCTCAGTCTCCTCCAGAGCTCAGAAGGGCAAAAATACATCTAAAAACCCAGAGAAAGCAGGTGCAGGGAATTTAGGAGAAAAGCAAATGCTTAGACACTGGAAGACTTTTATTTTTATTTTCTTCCTTCCTTTCTTCTCCTTTGCTTTTTTTAATTGTTATTTTTTTAAAAAAAAGTGCTGTGTCAGAATTTTGCAACGCCGCTCCGTTGCAAAAGTTAAATCACCACTTCCCTCGTAAAGCCCTCCCCTTGTGTCTTACAAGAGTTTTTTTTTTTTTTTAAAAAAAAGTGCTGTGTCAGAATTTTGCAACGCCGCTCCGTTGCAAAAGTTAAATCCCCACTTCCCTCGTAAAGCCCTCCCCTTGTGTCTTACAAGAGTTTTTTTTTTTTTTTAAAAAAAAGTAAAGCGATGGGGAGGGGGGAATAAAATCCCAGATCCAAAAGTCATCATCATGCAATTCCCAGCTTGCGTCTGTATGTGCATCAGCATTAAAAAAAATTGAGAAAAAAAAACTAAGATTGTCTTATTCAGCCAATCAACAGGAGCCAAGAAGCAGCTGTTAAAAGGAGTATCTTGTGACAGAAGCGATTACATTCATTCGGAGAGTTAACATATACACATACACATACTGTATATATACACACTCTCTCCCTCAAACTCCGGCATTCCCAAGGATTATTAAGAGAGGAAAAGAGAGAAAACCGCTACCGGACTTTGAACGTACTTTTCTCCGGATTTTGGTGCATCCCTTCTGCTGATTTTTTTTCTCTCTCAGCAGTGAAAGGAAGCAGAGCCTTTGAAAAATATATTTCTTTTATTTTTAAAACTGAAGCAAAAAGAAAAGAAAAAAGAGAGGGAGACACAGCCTCTGCCGGAAAGCTGCCGAGATTTGAGAGCGTGCGAGTGGAGCAGAAGAAAGCTTTTGGAAAATAAAAGCTTGCCAGGGGAAGGATCAAAAAAGAAAACCCACCAACGTCTCTATATAGTTGTGGAAAGAGATTTTTTTTTTTTACTCTTTGCTCTAAAGAACGATCATATAAAACAGCCGCTTTGTGTCAGACGTGCGTGGCGACTAGAGATTCCAGATTTCCGTGGCTGTAAACCCAGGAAATATCCTTTTTTTGCTTAGGTCGTGTGATAACAGATGAGAACGGTCCTTAACTTGTATTTATAATTTCCACACTTTACATTTCTGTGGATCCGGAGGAGGGTGATCTGTTTGAGAACCTCTTTTGTGCATATCACTTGCTTTTCTTTTTTGAAATCTCAGAGGGCCTCCTTTTCCCTGGAAAGGTTTCTCCCCTGAAACCACTGCTTCCCCCAACCCCCCAAAAATTTCATTTGGGCTGAAATGATTCCAATTCCCATGTGGCTGTTCTGGGCTGCCACCTTCTGCCAGCTCACTTGGGCGGTGGGCAAACGGGCTCCTCTTAGCACGTATGTAGAAGAAGTTGTGTTCCCTGAGAGACTCAATGCCACTTTACATCCTGAGAATCCGGACGCGGGGAATCTGTTCGAGAACAGCCTGGGTCCCCACGGAGACAGTCCGGACGCCCGGATTTCCTACCGCCTTCGCGTTTTTGGCGAAGAGCTGGTCCTCAACTTGGAGAAAGACCCCAGCTTTTTCACCGAAGGCTTGACCGTCCAGTATCTGGGCAAATTCGGCCAGGCGGCGGACGGCCTGGCCGAGCGCGGCGCCTACTACACCGGCACGGTGAACTTTGACCCCGAGTCCATCGCGGCCCTCAACTGCGACGGGACCTCCTTGATCGGGGTGCTGCAGTACCGTGGTGCGGAGTACCACATCCAGCCCCTGGAAGGGGGTGCCCCCAACACGGCGGGAGGAGCCGGGGCCCACGTGGTGAGGAGGAAGATGCCGGAAAAAGCCGACGGGCCCATGTGCGGCGTCGGTTCGCTGGCGCCGGAGAGCGGGCCAGCCTGGGACGGCGAAACGTTGGCCAAGAAGCAAGACTTCCCAAGGAGAGCAAAGGTATTGTCCGGTTGCTAAATGGTTATTTTTTTTTCAGGGGTTGGATAGCTCAGAAGGTGGCCGGAATGGGCTCAAATCCTCGCCAGTCATGCATCGCCTATGTTGGCCAGGATCCCGATCTCTGGATTTATAGGATAGCATCCTTGTTTTAGTGCCTCTCTCTCTTTCTCTCTCGGGAGGTCTTGGCTTGTCCTCAGTTGCCCTCTGCTAGTCGGTGAGATCCTGATCTGGCCTTCTCCGTTTCTGAATGGGTCCACGTTTTCGTTCGCTCATAGCTGCCAGCCTGATCCCTCTTTTACCCCTAAGCGTACGCAGGAAAAGTGGGGGGTACCGCCAGGACAGGGTGTTTGAGCATGGCGCCCAGGTTCCCCTCCTCAGTGCGCAGGAGAGTCACCAAGAACCGCCCAGGGCTTCTACGCGTATTTGGAAGCGGTGGTGAAGTCTTGGCTCGCGAGATGAAACGGATGGGCACAGAGCCGGTCCAACTGGCGTCTAAAATTAACCAGCCCTGCCCAAGATTGGAAACCGACGCCTGGTTTTGTGCTACTTGCTCAGCTAGGTCGTCAGCCGAGATGGAAAATGTGGCTTCTTTGGGACTACAACTCCCAGTTCGAACATGCTGGTTAGGTGTATGCTGGGAACTGTAGTCCAACGGGAGGGAGGGGGCACAAAAAGACGAGTTTTATGTATTTGAAGCCAGTTAATGTTTTCTCTGCAAGACGCCAGCGTTGTCTGGCTCCAGTGCGATCTGCCTTACCCTGCCAATACTTTAAAATCATCCTCGTTTTCTGTCTCCAATGCAACAACAAAACCCATCACTCCCGGTAGGATTAGCAAGTTAGCAGCTATCAATATATTCATAACAGTGGACATTACAGATAACTCTGTGCAGATTTTTGGAAATGTTACTTTGGGGGGATTTACAGCCCCCCCCCAATCTCCCAACCAGCAGCACCATTACTCATGCAGTTCGGGGGATTTTGGGAACTGCAGTCCGCCCCAAGTAACATGCCCAGACTCTGCCACTCAGCCCTCTCACCTTCAGATTTAAAAGTCTGTCTCTAGGCAACCCGAAACCTCCTTTTTTACAGAATCCTTCAAGAAATCTTATATTCTGGAAAGTTTTTTTTAATGGTCTCTCACACACAAAAGCCTAGAGCGATAATATTTCTGCCTTATATTTAAAGATCCACTGTGGGTCTACGTCGTGATTTCCATAGGTTGCCTGATTATCCCGTATCAGATGGGGAAATGGAGGCAACTGATTGTTTTGTGTGGGTCAGCCTATGGGGGGGATTTACGCCGCTCAGACCTATATATTATATAGGGTTCCCTCCTCAGAAGCTTTTGCCTGTTCTGATGATTCTTCAGGGAAAGCCGGAGAGATAATAAAACCCGGGATAGCCCAACCCTGGGGCAGCGTGGTTAAACCCTTGGTCTGAACCGCTAACCCACCATCCCTTCCTCCTTCCACGGCGGCTCTTTGCCCAGGCGTCCACTGGGCGTGGAAATCGGTGTGTGCAGAGCCGTGCCAATGAGCCAGGGTGGGCGGGGCGGGTGAAAAAGTTAGCGGCCACGTGGCTGCGCCATGCCACCCCTGAGCACACCCAGAAAAGCCCCCGTCCTCTTTTCTCCCTGGTTCAGTTGGCATTTTGGAACAGCTGCCAAGGTGGTCCCTTCGAGTTGTGTTGTGCGCCACGTGTCCTGCGCAAGGTCTTCTTTCCAAAACGTCTATCTGATGGGCTCAGATCAGCCTTCCTCCACACGCTCCTCTCCTTTCGGATTACAACTCCCATCACTCCCCACTGGCATTCTTCCACCAGATACTCACGAACCTGCCTTGTGGCAGTCCTTGAAGCGCTCCAGATCCAAGCCTTGACACGTACCGCAAGCATCTGATCAGGGATGGGGTTGGACGTGTGAATCCAATCAGCCGGGGTAAATTTCCCCTCTCATAAGATGACAGTGTAGATACATTCTTCCCTTTTCTCTTTTCGAGATCCGCCAGCAGATTGGTAGACTTCCTTCCTGTTCCTTCTTGAGGTCGTGCTCCTTTCTCCTTCTAGCTAGAAAAAGACAGGTTGACCTGGCCCCTCCATCATAAATGAACAGGGGCTTCTGCGAATAGAAATCTGCTTTAGAGTTTTCTGTATCCAAGTTTAGGTCTTTTCCTCCTGCTCTATCCCTGGATGGATTTCCTGAAACAATGAATGTAATTTCCCCCCCGTTTTTATCCAAGCGATATCCTTACAGGCATGAGGTCCTATGAAGGTCACCACTCTCTATTCCTTCTCTCTTTTCCCCCCGCAGAGGTTTGCTTCCATCCTGCGCTACGTGGAGACCTTGGTGGTGGCCGACGAGGAGATGGCACGTTTCCACGGGGCAGGCCTCAAACCTTACCTGCTCACCATCATGGCGGCCGCGGCCAAGTTCTTCCGGCACCCCAGCCTCAAGAACCCTGTCAATTTGGTGGTGACCCGGCTGGTCGTGATCGGCGAAGGCGAGGACGGTTTGCGCGTGTCCTCGAACGCGGCCGAGACGCTGAGGAACTTCTGCGCCTGGCAGAAAGGTCTGAACAAGCCCAGCGACCAGGACCCCGAGCATTTCGACACCGCCATCCTGTTCACGAGGAAGGTAAAGATTCTGTTTTCGGATCGGCGCAAGCCCGACGTGCGCCGGGTGGCTTTGGAAATCGCACACTGCAACCGGACGCGTTTTACAATCCACATAAAGGACGCCCGTGTGTTCCATGCTTGGCCCAGGTGTAAAAACTGTCCAGAGACTGGAGGTGTCCCATTTTCCTTTGGACGCTCTCCAAAGGGAGAGGCTCGGGAGCAGCTGCTTCAAAGGCAGCGTAGCGTAATGGTTAGCGAAGCCTCCCATGCCCCAGCCAGATGGCAATGAGACCTATTGAACGGCCTCTCCCTTGGGCCACTGACTCGGTGAGCCATGGTCCTGCTGGATGGGGACGATGGGACTCCTCCGGGGGAACGCTAGGTTAGAGGGTCGAATTAGGGGCAGGGAAAGGCGAGTTCGGATTCCACCGCGAGTCCTTAATAATAAATAGCCATCTTAGAACAGCACCGCTGGAAGGGAAGCTATAGATCATCAAATCCAGGAGGCACAGTGGAGGATTTGAACTCACCTCCAGCTCTGCACACAGATGCCTAAATTCCTGAGATATATCAGAGTTGAGGATTGAATGTGCTGCTCTGTCTCAGGCTGCTGAATTTCCTGGGCCAGCCAAGAACGAGCCTCCCTCTGGGGCGACGACTATAGCCGTCAAGAAACATACCGTGATCAGCATCCGTACGGCGTGCTGTACTCCAGTGGTTCCCAAACTTGGGTCGCTCGCGTTGTTCTCGGACCGCAACTCCCAGAAACCCCGTAAAAGTACAACTTGGGTGGGTGGAGGCTTCTGGGAATTGTAGTCCATGAACAAACCCGGGTTACTCAAATGTTGAGAGGCATAGTTCTAGAGTAATTGATAGGTGGGACATGAAAACTTATCCTTGGCAAGAGAGGCAGAATGACAAACATTGGATGAACGTTGTGAAAAACAGGAGGGTGGGATTCTCACACTTATTCCAGCTTAATATCTATTGCAAGGGTTCACACGTAATTAATGTACAGTATGTTGTGAATTGGGAAACACCATGCCTTGCTTTCTCGCGTGCAAAGTCTTCTTGCTGGGCATGACAGATAGTGCAACAACATAAACACAGTATATTGAAAAATAATTCCCTCTTGAATAGCTGGCAGCGTCTGCATGACATGCTTCTTTTTTTTTCTCTGCCAGGATCTGTGCGGGCGCTCCAGCTGCGGGACCCTGGGCATGGCGGACGTTGGCACCGTGTGCGATCCGGCACGCAGCTGCTCCATTGTCGAGGACGACGGCTTGCAGTCTGCCTTCACCGCAGCGCACGAGCTTGGTAAGGTGGGAGAGAGGGCGGGATTCCGTTCGAACGGCCCGAAATGATCCCAGACAGACCGGCTCCTGCCGAAAAGTCTCTAAGAATTAGAGGCTCCGTCCTCCGCCTGGCTGCTCAGAAATGCTACCGAACCCGATGAGGCTTACCGTCAAAATAGACAACATTTCTTTAGAAGCAGAGCTGCCTTAAGAAGTCAGGGACATCTGTTTATCCTGTTAACGAGGTTTCCTAAATCGTGGGCAAGTTGAGATGCTGATCAAGCATTTTCCCTCCAGAAACGTTTTCCTTCAAAGCTGTTGGGCCTGAGCAGCGGCCCATGGACACGAAGCCTCCGCTTACTTCCCGCCTGCATCTGTTTGGCGATTGACCAGGGAAGGATCAGCGGAGGCTTCGTGTCCATGGGCCGCTGCTCAGGCCCAACAGCTTTGAAGGAAAACGTTTCTGGAGGGAAAACGCTTGATCAGCATCTCAACCTGCCCGCCCTCACAGGTTCTGGCATAGAGCAGTGGCTTCCAACCTTTTTTCATGCGTGGACCCTGTAAGGGGTTACTCTTCGGATTAATTTTTGACTTGCATCTTGTCTTACAGTGCTGACGATTTTGCCTTCCCCCCCCCATGATTCATTTTTTTCTCTGTGTACCCCTAAGTGTCCTTGTTTGTCCTCATGGGGGGGGTATGCGTACCCCGGGGTGGAAATCACTGGTATTTAGTATTACAGCCTCAGGTTGTTGGATCATCTGTTCGAACATTTTGCAAGAAAATTAAGATTTCTAATAGATTTTTTTCACTCTCCTTGCCAGACTCAAATTCTCCTCTTTAGTTTGGTAAAGAGAAACCAGGACACTCTCGCTGATATAAAATACCAAAATAGGAATACAAGATGAGCTAGTTAGATCAGACAGAAAGCCTAACTAGTTTAACATTGCATTCCCACTGCGGCCAAACCAGACGCCTGTCAAACATGCAGTGTTTATATCAGAGGCATGGTATTACAAAGCGTCTCCTGAAATGGAAGCGGAAGGATGTAACAATGTGTGCGGCTGTGATACCAGTTCCAAATAAAAACATACATTAAAACATCTGTTTGGGAAAAATCTAAACCTTGGAGCAGAGCGGCGCATGTGTTCCCCCTATTTATTCCGCTTTCATCTTTGCTGGACCTGTTTAGCAGGGTTGCAGTGGGGGAGGAAGACAGAGAAGAATAGGGACTAGAAACTTGATTTTGAGAGAGAGAAAGACAACTGATCTAAAACTGTCCTCAACTGACTAGCGCAGCTCTTGCAAGCCTGTGGATTCCTTGAGGGAGCTGATCCATCTCGTATTGGGTCTTCCTCTTTTCCTACTGCTTTCGGCTTTTCCCAGCATGATGGTCTCTCTCTCCCCCATTTATAGGCCACGTCTTTAACATGCTCCATGACGATGACAAACATTGCAGAGAGCTCAACCGCCACAGCACCACCCGCCACATGATGGCCTCCATCATGTCCCCCGTGGATCCCGACGAGATGTGGTCCCCCTGCAGTGGCCGCTTCATCACCGATTTCCTAGACAACGGCCACGGTGAGTTTTTGCCTTGCCGTCTGATCCGTGCATCCCACGTCAAGTTTTCCCCCGCAAACACGCCAGCAGGGTGAAACATGTCTTTGCACTTCAAAAGCTCCCGATGCAAAATGAAAACAAGCAACATTTGATTGATTGATCGATCGATTGATCGATCGATTGATTGATTCATTCATTCATTCATTTGTGAAAAGCTTTGTGAAAAGACCTGGGAGCCTTCTTCGGGATCCGCTGTTGCCAATGGCTTGCTGGGATGCGCTGGACCAGATGTGTCTCCTGGATAAAGCCTTTGGCAAATGCAACTCCGTAGTCTTTAGGGTAACACAGAACTCCGTGTCGGTTTCGCAGCAGCACTGACACGGCTGCCGCAGATGCTCCTAGACTAATTTCAGGAACTGAAAGGCAGCAGATATAAACACCTGCAAGCTTTCCCTTAATGGCAGGTTGCCCGAGCAGGGTTTTTCGATGGAGTTTTGTGCCTTACTTCTTCGAGCGCATTTTTTAGTATCGCTTTTGTTTACCGTGGTGGCATTTGTTTGATCCTTTTCAGTATTTGTAAACTTGCTGATTTCCGCGCTAAATATCACCTTTCAACGATGTAAGCTGCTTTGGATCCTCCTTAAGGGGAACGGAGAATGGTACAATATTTTAAATAAAAAAACCAAAAGAACAATAAAATAAATATGCCTAGACACAAGGCCTGTGAAGCTGTGTTCTTTTGGAAGAAATGTTTCCAAATCTTAATCTCAAGATCAATTTTAATCTAAGAGCTGCAGCGCTCGCGTTGATTTCCCCATTTGTAAGGATTCAGGAAGACATGATGCTTAGACAACGCTGTATTTTGCCTTCCGTTTCTGCAGGCTTCTGTCTCTTAGATAAGCCCCATGAACCCCTCAGCTTGCCGGCGGTCTTCCCAGGCAGCAGTTACGACGTAGACCAGCAATGCCAGCTGAGTTTCGGGCCCGACTCTCGCCACTGCCCGAACATGCACACGCCGTGCTCTTCGCTGTGGTGCACGGGCCGGATCAACGGGCAGTTCATGTGCCAGACCAAATACTTCCCCTGGGCTGACGGGACGCCGTGCGGGGAAGGGAAAAGCTGTATGAGCGGCCAGTGTATCAGCAAAGTGGAGCTGAAGGCGTATCACGTAAGTTGCAGAGTTTTGAATCAAAAACTTCTAGCTGTCTAGCAGAAGTGCAGGGACTTAGCAGAGGATGATTAGCCTCCAGCCTCCCCAGAGCAGACCACCCCTGATAGTCTCATCAACTGGCACTTACAGTCTCAACAACTCACTCTGAGACATTGGTAAGAGAAGGAATAAAAAAGGTTTTGTTAACTTATCATATCCCAATACAGGGTCACTATATGGAAACGTGGTGTTCTAGATATTGTATGACTCTTAATTCCCACCCGCTTCAGTCAGCAAGGGTTGGGGATGATGGGAACTGAAACTCAGTAACCTCTGGAGGGCCACAGATTCCACACCACAGCTGTGAGAATGGGTAGCTTAGTAATTTAGGTCTCTGGCTGTGAAGCCAGAGGTGGGAGTTCGAATCCTCCCAGGCCTCCTTGACAGAACTGGACTGCTGGCTGTGGAGCCAGAGGTGGGAGTTCGAATCCCCCCAGGCTTCCTTGACAGGGGCTGGACTGGATGATCTATAGGATCCCTTCTAGCTCTGCAGTTCAAAGATGATTATTATAATATTTGTTAAGTGCGGTGAGGCCTTGAAAGGCTCTCATTTCTCCTTTTTTCATTACTCTCTCTCTCTTTCTCTCCATCCACAGATTCCCATCCATGGCAGCTGGGGACGATGGGGCCCGTGGGGGGAGTGTTCGCGCACCTGCGGAGGGGGGGTGCAGTACTCCACCCGGGAGTGCGACAAACCCGTCCCGCGCAACGGCGGCAAGTATTGCGAAGGGAAGCGCACGCAGTATCGCTCCTGTAACGTCAAAGCCTGCCCTGACGGGAACGGTAAGATATTTCTCTCTTATTTGAGACTTTCATGCCAAAGCAGCGAACGATCAAGATTTTGTTTCCCCTGCTGACGGCATGGCTGAATTTTTGGAATTGTGGCCTGTAAATCCTTAGAAATGCCTTAAGATCGGAAACAGCTTAACATTCATTGGAGGGGGTGCAAAGATGAAATGGAGAAGGGAAGCAGGCTGCTAAGGACAGAAAGATTCACACATTTGCCGGTACGAATCCGTAAGCCAATTAAAAATCCGCGCTGCCTGGACGGCTGCTCACATCAAGCCTCCCAGCAGACTAGAATGAAGTTGTTCCCCCACTCTCTTAAAAATATGCTCGTTCGATCCGAGAAATGTTCAAGTAAACAACGGTTTACGTATTGCAGATGCCTTGATCTCTGTTCAGCATCGGCCCATCCACGTTCTCCCTTACAAGACGTTATCTCCTTATCATCCTACCCTGGCGGTAGCATTTGACCCTGTGGTGCAAATTTTCTTCCAGCTTTGACCTACCGGGAACAGCAGTGCGCGGCGTACAACCACCGGACGGACATGTTTAAGGACTACCCGGCCCCGATGGACTGGGTTCCTCGCTACAGCGGCGTGGCGGAGCGGGACCAGTGCAAGCTCACCTGCCAGTCCCACGCGCTCGGTTACTATTACGTCCTGGAACCACGGGTAAGTGTGACCGCCGCACGGAGACCTTGTGGCCCTCCGAAGCCCGCGGGGTTGCGTTTTGCAGGACAGGCTTTGTGTAACAGAAAACAGCCCCTATTTTGGCCGTGGCACCAGGGTGGGCGAGGCTATAAAGCCTTGAAAAAGCAATTTCCAGTAAATCCCGAGAGATAGAAAACCGATTTCTGCTTTGGACTAGGTGGCCGACGGAACGCCGTGCTCCCCGGAGTCCACCTCCGTCTGTGTCCAGGGACGGTGCGTCCACGCCGGCTGTGATCGCATCATCGGCTCCAAGAAGAAGTTCGATAAATGCATGGTGTGTGGGGGAGACAACTCGGCCTGTACGAAGATCTACGGCTCCTTCACCAAGCCTCAGTGAGTGACATTTTTGGCTCGTGGCATTAAAACGGGAAGGAAAAATACCGACACTCTCTGTAGCATGTCCGGACAAATACTGCTCTCCCGAGCGCTTTTCGTTCGGCAGCCAAACACAGGCTAAGAAATATTTAAAGGGGATCCAAATTCTTTATAGAGCTGTATAAAAGATAAACGCTTGTCTGGGTGCAGTTTACCCCCCACGCATGTTTGGGTGTTATGTTTAGCACGTCCTGCAGCCTGTTTATCCTAGCACAAGCTTTCCTTTCCAGTCTGCAACCCAGCTCGCTTTTTAGCTCTGCGGTGGGTCATCAGGACATAAGCATGGGCATCACTGGCAAGCTGAATGCTTAGACGTGGAGCTTGGAAGGAATGACGTCTCTAGGAGGAAAACCATGACCTGTTGTCTTGAGTCAACAGAACCCACCATCCCCAAGATCTAATTTGTTTTGCTGCAGTGGTTCCAAACCTCGTCTCTAGGAGGAAAACCATGACCTGTTGCCCTGAGTCAACAGATCCCACCATCTCCAAGATTTAATTTGTTTTGCTGCAGTGGTTCCCAACCTTGGGTCCCCAGATGTTCTTGAACTGAAACTCCCACAAGCCTTCTGTTGGCCAGGGTTTCTGGGAGTTGTAGTCCAAGAACATCTGGAGACCCAAGGCTGGGAACCACTGCAGCAAGACAAATTAGATCTTGGGAATGGTGGGTTCTGTTGACTCAGGGACACCTTGGTGATGTCCTCTGAAGTCCACAGCATGGTTTTCCTCCCAGATACGCCATTCCTTCCAAGCTCCACGTCTTGCCAGTGACGCCCATGCTTACTTCCTGACAACCAGCCACAGAGCTAAAAGCGAACTGGGTTGCAGACTGGAGAGGAAAGCTTGTGCTAGAATAAACACCGTTGTTCCACGTCTAAGCATTCAGCTTGCCAGTGACACCCATGCTTACTTCCTGACGATCAGCCACAGAGCTAAAAGCGAGCTGGGTTGCAGTCTGGAGAGGAAAGCTTGTGCTAGGATAAACACCGTTGCGCCAAGAATAAAATGATAAGACTTTGCAACCCTCTCTCTCAGGCGAGACCTTGGCGGTTCTCTGCCGTAACTCCTCCTGATGCGTCTCGTGTTTCTTGTCGGCAGGTACGGGTACAACGACGTGGTCACCATCCCGGCCGGAGCCACGCGCATCCTGATCCGGCAGAGCGGCGGGTCGTCGTCCGCCAGCGATGGCATCTACCTGGCCCTCCGCCGGCAGGACGGCACATACGCCCTCAACGGCAATTACATCCTGGTGCCCTCGGAGCAGGACGTCAACCTCCCCGGCGGGGCCTCCCTGCGCTACAGCGGGGCCACGAAAGCCGTGGAGATCCTCACCGGTCGGGGGCCGCTGAAGGAGCCGCTCACGGTGCAGGCGTTGGTGGTGACCGACCAGAAGGCCCCCCGGCTCAAGTACACCTTCTTTGTCCCTAAGGCGCCGAAGAGATTGTCCCAACAGTGGCTGAAACAGAAGGCGCGCATCTTAGAGGTCCTACAGAGCCGGCGAGGCCGTAAATAAGACCCCGTGAGGCGCCGGGCTTTGGGGGTCAGCTTCCAGCGTGGCACAGACCGCCCCGACGGGACGCCTGTTTGTGGGAGGAGGCACGCCATGGGTCGAAGAGCACAAAACCGGACCACTAGGCCTTTGGCGATTGAGGACGGTTAATAAACCAGTGCCACGTCGGCCCCCACATGAGAACTCTGGATCCTTCCAGGACCTGTGGTTATGGGGTTTTTCCCTGGGGCAAAAAAAATGATCTGAACCTCCTCAAGCACGCAGAACGCAAACCCAAGGGTGGGGAGGAAATGAAACCTGAGCGTCTCACCCGGCTGGCTTTTTTCCCCCCTCCCCGGGGACACACGAGCGAGATTCTCTGACGGAGTCCAGGGAGGCGGGTGCGAAAGAAACCCCCTCTGATTCCAGGTTTCCCAGGTCAAGTAACCGGACAAAGAAAGTGTGCCATCGTTGTGGCTGAATGACATTGGGGTCAGCCGAGGTCGCCGACCGGCCACTTCTCCGCTGTGGCTTTACCCTTGCTTCTCCAATCCCGACCGCTCCCACGCTGTATTTATTATCTTTTTGTTGTTATTATTTATTCGCCACTCTGGGTACATTGTGCATTAGTCGCGGGAAGGGTTTTTTAATCTTCGGCAAACGAAAAAGAACGGGACCAAAAGCACGCAGGCGGGAGCGTCCCCCCTCGGCTCCTTTACACCCGACGGTTTTCTGGGGCCGCAGGAAAAATGTGCTTGGATCAGCACCGTCTACCTCATTCCCCCAGCACCGAAGGAGCTCTGTCGTCAGCCCCCTCCAGCCGGGACCGGCGTCCGCCAGAACGGCCCGAGCCGCTCCGGATTTCTGGCAGAGGACCCCTTTCTTGTGGCCGGGAGGAGGCACCAGCGTAATTACAGGCCTCGGGTTGAAGGGGGAAATCCAACCCCAGAGCGGTCAGGATGAGGGCTCCTCTCTTGACATGCTGACCTCCATCTTCCTCCCGCTGGAGGTTGGAAGGAGACGGGGGTTGGAGACGAAAGCAGCCTCCGCTCAAGCCGGAGATGCTGCACGCACCCCGAAAATGCACCTTTAAGGTCATGGCAAGGAATTTTTCGCCCATGGAGCGCACGCTGCTGCATCCGGGCTGGTTCCCAATTTATGGCAGGCCAGGTGGGGTAGATTCCAAATTCTTGTTAGGCTAAGGAAGGCCTTCTCCGTGGGGTTAAGAAGGGGGAGCGTCCGGCGGCCGAGCACCGATGTGTCCCTCTCGGCCTTAAAAGTGAGCCCCCCCCCCGTGTTCATGACAGAGTCCGGCCAGGCCAGGAAAGGGGAGACCAGAGCATCCGGTATCCATGTATTTTCCATCCGATAAAGAGAAGCGGAGACCCGCGATCGGAGCCACGGAAACTCCCCGTGTTCATGACAGAGTCCGGCCAGGACAGGAAAGGGGAGAACAGAGCATCCGGTATCCGTGTGTGCATTTTCCATCCGATAAAGAGAAGCGGGGACCCGCGATCGGAGCCACGGAAACCAGGGAAAATCCTAATTCTCATCAGTTCAGGACGAGAGGTCATGCCTTGTGGCACCCACCGGGATCCGTCAGAGACGGGCCATCCGGGTGCGCAGCACCCTGAATCCCATTGATCTTACACTCTGTGGCTTTCAATAGGACCGAGAGCTGAACCGTTCCTCTGACTTCGCGATCCCAAAGGATCCCTCATCCCATGCCATCCCGGCTCCCTTTTCGGAGCTGCTCTGGCGCAGATCTTTGAAACCGGAGTCAATATAGTGATGGGGGAGGAAGCAGGACTCCTGGGTCCTTTTCTACATCTCCCCCTCCCCAATTTTAGGGGCAAATGGTGGCGATAGGAACACGGGGACGAAAGAAGCCGTCCGGCTCTCTCTTCTCAAAATAGCACTGTGTGTCTGGTTTGATTTTTTCCTGTGGCGTTCAATGACGGCCACGCTGGGGCAGCTGAGTCACTGAAAATTTTCCCCCTGGATGGGGTGAATTCCATAAAACCTCTGTAGACCCAGAGGGGTTATGTCCCCAAATGTCTCGGTTTGGGGTGGGGTGGGGTGGTCTTTCCCTAAAACCTCCACCAGCTTAAGAGCCTGCCACTGAAGACTGATCGTTTAATTTAATTATAATTTAATGAATAGCAGCAAAACAATATTTTTTGTTTAAATCGGGCCCTGAGGCGAGTTCCCCAGGTCTTGAGGGAGGGTTTTATATCGGTTTTGTATCAGTGGCGCGTTATTATTAATAATTATTGTTTTGGGATCAAGTTGTGGTTCTTGAGTTTGAATAAATAAAAAAATCTACCGAGTTATTTAAGGCTATTTATAAAACCGGCGTTTGGCACCGTGTCGTTCTTTGGGGGGGTGCAGTTTTGCTGCGATAAAGCAGCGGGTTTGGAGGTGGGGGAAAACATGGACTCTCCTGCTTTGGGGTGGGACAGGATTTTGGGGAAGGGACCCTCGTGCTGGGAAAGGCGGGAGGCAGCAGGCAAAGAGCAAGACCCCAATGCAAGAGGGACGGACTCTCTAAAGGAAGCCACAGGTTTGCCTCTTGTCTTCGGGACCAACAGTGGGGCCACCAAGC